TACCTTCTGCGCCTGCCACGAGTAGACTATGGGTCCCCCGTTGCGAATGTTTTATATAGGAGTAAGGGAGTTATCGATTTAATTCCCCGGGAAAACTCAGAGACGGAGAGAGAAAACGAGGGAAATGTTATGGGGGAGCTTCCGTACTTTGGACTATGGCATTTCATGGGTCCCTTCCTCCCTCTACGAGTGAGAGAGAGAGAGAGGATGGAAAATTATTCCGAAATATTTCTCCAAATATATACAGGGTGTCTTATTCTAAAAAAAAAATAAGAAAAAAAGTTAAAACAATACACACCTTTTGATAATGATAGATAACTTAGAGTAAGAAATGTGTTTAGAAGATTTTCTTCTTTGCGAGCTTGCAATTATTGTTTCATCCTTTTTATTTATTTATTCATTTATTTCCTCTTTTGATTTTTTTGTTTGTTCTTATACATACACGGGGGTTCGTTAGATATACGATTAGGAATGTTTCCAATAACGCATATAAAATCTGAATGAATTTTTATTAAATTCCCTTATGTTACTTGAAAATGTATTTGTTGAAAGGGGAGAGTGTTTAATGAATTGACCGAACAGCGACATTATTGATCCCTTTTCTTGGAAAGGGAAGACAACCAGATGGGGAAGCTCGCACGACTTTTGTGCCAAATCTTTCTCTTTCTTTCTTTCTTCCTTCCTTTCCTTCCTTCCTTCCTTCCTTATTCCTTTTTCTGTGTCAGGGAAAATTTATCCTCAGGACAATGCCTGTAACCCTCTCCATTTTATTCCCCAAAAAGATCGATACACCTCTTTAATTTTAACTCTAGAAAGAAAAAAAGAAAAAAAGGATTTCCTTGCATTTGTATCGAACAAATATATATTTTTTCCCTTCGCAAAAAAAAAAAGAAACGAAAATTTCAACACGAGTATAATATGTGTAATTAATTATTATATTCATTTTTTTTTTTTTTGGATGGGTTACATTTGTTTCTTTTCATTTTGAAACAACGAGTTTGATCTTCGACAACGTGGAAAACGTGCCATATGAGCAAAATTGCATCGAGTTTTTAAATGCCGTCTGTCGTATTCTTTCAAAGTTATGCACATTCTTTATTTATCATCTTTGATATATAAGACAAAAGAAAGAGAGGGAGAAAGAAAGAAACGTTCACAAACGAATTCCATCAACGCATAACTCGCTATCGATTTTTCATTATCATTCGAGTTTACCATTCCTACCTCGAATTTATTGTAACAAACGTTTCAATACTCGGTTAATACACAAATTTCTAAATATTATTATGTTTTCTTTATATAATAGAGAATTTTTATTACAAATGAAGTAGAGAGAGAGAGAGAGAGATGACAAACTTTGTATTGCTATAAAAATAATTCAAACTATTAACTTCCATTAAAGCTTTTCATTTTTGTTAAAGAAACAATATCAATTGATGTAAAAGAAAAATAACACACACATTACCCTGCAATTTATAAAGTAATATATTTAAAATGCATTCTCAAGTTGGTCGATACTGTTGACACGATTAAAATTTGCAAAATAATAACACGTATGCAAATTAAATCGAAAAATAAATATATATTCGAACGTGTTATTTAAATATCAAAAATTTTATTATATCCAACACTGTTCCACGCGCGAATATTTTATTACAAATACATACAATTACAACTCTTATTACCTGTGTATTATTAAACAATCAAGAATATTATTATGAATAATACAAAATAAATAGAAGAAATATAAAATGTAATATTGTATAAAAGATGTGTGAACAAAAAAAAATATAAATTAAAATAGATACAATGACTCGTTCATTGGCACTCACGACGATAGTGGGCGAGCAAATGAAACTTATGTTAGTCACATTTGAACAGAGAAAAACACAAGTCTGACGTCTTTCGAGTTATGCTACTTATGCTTATACGAATATATATACACGAGTACTTCATTTTCGTTTATATGTGATAGAGAGAGTGTATCTTTATCTCTCTCTTTCTCTCTGTTTGATGTAGGAGTAGAAATAAGTGCGAGAAAGATAGGCAGACGCTCATCGAGATGCATCTCGCGTACGTTCCTCCAGCGAAGGACCGGAAGTTGGCTAGTCATACGTGCATCGTCACGCGTATCCGGTGCCCAAGACTCGTTTATCGATTCCAGGAATGGACGTGTACTCATTTTTACCAAACACCCTGTGATCCATCATAGATCATTCCTCCTTAAATCTTCAACTTTATTCGATTATCTTTCCGTGTTCGTCCAAATATTTTATACCTAAAAGAAAAAACAAATCAAATGATATATGATTCGAACAAATCTATTAGATTTTCTATTTATAATTATAAACCTTATATAGAAAAAATATATATATATAGACAAATCATTTGACGATAAATAAATCGATTCTTTGTTTCGTTATTCGTGATTTTCTTAGAAATTGCATAAAAAATAAAGATCGTAGCAAAGTCCCTCGATCATTCAAATTCTTGGTTAATAAATAAGCAAAGTTTAATGTTCACGAGGTTTCCTCCCTCTCTCTCTCTCTCTCTCTTTTCCTGTGCGTCTGTTTTTTTTTATTTGCTCGAGGCTGCCTTTTATGGAGCCCTTGATTTCGATTAAGGGAGATTATTCAACTCGTGGAATGATGATACCGATTCAAGAACGAGTCAATGATAAAATAACATTGAAATTTATCGAACCCCGAAATATGAATTATTTTAACGATAATATATTTATTATTTTTAGCTGTCTACAATTGGCGTGGGGAGACGCGTTATGGACTTCCATTAGAAATTGGAGAAACCGTACAAATTTTGGAAGAATGCGCAGGTAATAACCGAAATTAGGTAATCACACAATTAATATCAATCGATTATACAAATTTATAATAATTATTACAAATATATTTTCTCTACAGATTTTAAACTGCGAATATTAAATGTGAAACAAGATTATTGACAAGTTTGATTAATTATTGTTCAGGTTGGTACAGAGGATTTTCAACAAAGAATCGTGGGGTTAAAGGAATATTTCCCAGTTCCTATATACACCTGAAGCCTTGCAAAATCGACAATGAGGGTCTCTTTGAGTCAGTCATCCCTTTGGAAGATCCGGTCGTTCGGGAAGTTACCCTCGTCCTTAGGGAATGGGATGGCATTTGGAAAAGGCTTTACGTTGTAAGTACACACCCATATTACGTGTACACGCATATGAATCATTTGCATCGATCTTTTTTCTCTTATCCCTTCGTCGTATTATATTCTTTTTTAGTCAGCACTTTAAAACAAAAACAACAAAAAATATACTGCATTCATCGTTATTGTTCATTGTGTGAAATTAATTTCAAATCTTATATTATTGTTTCTAATTAAAAAATATATATGTTTGATAAATCACACGTTATTCGGTTGTACTGCGTTTAATTTCTAGGAACGAGAAACGTACAAATTTTCAGTCCTGAGAAAAGTGATGCGAGATTTGCTACAATGGCGACGACAACTTTTGGCTAGCACCCTTACCACAGATCAAACTCGTGAACTGAAACTACGGATTATCAACAAAGTCGACTGGGGAAATCGGTAAGTCGGATTGAGAACATAAACAAACCAATTCCCTAAATTCATGAATAAAATTTCATAATAATATCTGGCTTTCGCGAAATTTATATCTTTGAAGATACAACCTCTAATTATATTTCAAATTGTTTCTATGATCATTTTACACATACTTACAGGATATTATTATTTCATACAACTTCGTTTATATTTATTAATTGAAACAGAAAAATATTAATAATTAATTCACCCCCCCCGTGTGTAAGAGCACGTAAAACGAACGTATAAAAATAATACTATGTTATAACATAATTAAAAAGAAAATATATATATGTATATCATTCATATTATACTTGTTGATATTTTTCGTTTATTATTTTTTATTATAATTCGTATAAAAAAAAAGAAGAAGAAAAAAAAAAAGAAACTTGGACGAATACATAATAGAATTCTTTCTTAAAGAATTCTTAATTTTAATTCGGAATTGAAATATATATTCTTAACATCTGTTTTATACTAATCAACATTAGCCGATGCATATTTTAATTCATTTAACTTAATATTATATCATATTATTACTTAACGCATATATACTTTATCAGATTTATATTCTATAAAAAGGCACATAGTTTAAACAATAGTTGCAATCATATTGTCACTCGTCTCTCTCTCTCTCTCTCTCTCTCTCTCTCTCTTATAAACTACGGTGGGAATTAAAATTTCTATACGTACATTTATGAAATAAGTTAATTTTTCAAGTGGCATAAATAATAATTTTAAACGCAATGAAAAAGAAATTTCGTTCAAAAGTTCTTTACACGAAATTATATTCTATTTGAATATCCGAGATAAGAAAATCCAAGTGAATTCATCTGAAAAGTTGGCACACGAATATTTGAGAAACATATATACTGAAACGTAAAATCACTAATATATTATTTCGAATATTTATGCCATTATTCAAAATAAACGATTCCATATATTATAATATAAACTTGGTAGTATTCTTATAGGCAGCTTCGGTACGAATATTTTCATTATTTTATTTGCTTACGAGTTATTCGAGACTCGATTTAAAAAAAAAAAAACAGTTAACTTTAGGCATCCTTAAAACAAATATATTTCTATTTAATTAGTAAAAAGAATTACTTATTAATATATTGTTTGTGTGATATAAAGAAAAAACAATTATCTTTCTCTATCTATCTCAAAATTATATTCAACGTTCCACCTTGTTTTTTAATTCACAAAAAAAAAAGAAAAAACTAATTTCCAACTCGTAAAACGTGTAAAACTCTTATCACTACGCGCCTTCAAGTTTTAATTATGTTTGTTTGTTTATACCTCGCTAATAGTCATTGCACCAATTACGCATTAATCGATATTTTTTAGTACACACATACATGTGTGTATATATATATATATATATATATATATTTATATTTAATTAAAAAAAAAAAAGAAGGAATGTGTAAAGGAATAGAGAAAACTATGATTAAAGTGAACAAAATAGGATCCTATAATCTAGCAACGTTAATTACTGTTCGTTTAACTTACAAAATAAAAGAAAAAGAAAAGAAAATAAAAAATCTTGAAGATTAGTCTCTCCCACTTTTTTTTTTCTCTCTCTCTTACTCGCTAACTTTTTAAATCTTACGTCAAACTAAAAATTCGTTCGCGTTTATGTTTGTAATATGTTTACGTATTACGTACGTAAATTTTTCACATTAAGAGGACTAATTAAAAATTCTTACGGAATCGAAACGAACGTCTCGCGGATGAGAGAACAGAAATAACGAGTGTTGTGTTACCTTCTTCGATTAATATATTTTTGTTTGTTTGTTCTTTTCTCTTTAATAATTAGCAAATTGTACAATGGTTCTATATGTCTCCCTTAATTTTTTTTTTCTTTTTTATTTTTTACTATACTCGATATAAGAAATTCGCATTATTTCTAAATCTTTCATAAATTCGATGATTTAAAAAAGAAAGAAATGAACTCGGTAGAACGAATACGTTTTCAATTTTCTATAATTAGAATTTTAATAAAATCAAAAAAAAATAAAAAATCTCTAAACACTAAACGTGTATCTAAACGTGTTCTAATTCATAACTATCCATGAGAGAAAGAAAAAAATAAACTAAAAACACAAAAATTATGCTCCCTTAAATTCGATAGAACAAAAATGGAATGAGAATTAATCATAAGAGATTCATTGTCTCGATTCGTTGCCGAGAATTTTTAATCTCGTAGTTCGTCTAAAAATACAAATCTAGTCTTGGCTCGTCGTGCTTCGATCTATCGATCTATCGATCGATAATAATAATGACAATGATGATGATGATGGTGGTGATGATGATGATTACGATGTTTGGACAAAAAAATCGATAATACAAAAAAAAAGAAAAATATATTTTTCTTTCGCAAAAGGAAAATAATAAAATCAAAAAATGAGAAAAATACGCATCATCTTTTTTTCGCGTGGGACGAAAAGTGTGAAAGAAAAACGAGAGGAAACAAAAAAGAAAAAATAAAAAAGGATAATCGTTGAAGGCACCGACGGGATAATTATCACAATAATCAAAATTAGAAATACAATTGGATAGGAAAATTATAATAACGGGGGATGTAAGGAAGGAAATACAAACTGGGGGGTGTGGTGGAGATGGGGCTGGGGCTAGGGGTGGTAGTAGCGTTGTATATGAAAAGTTTTTTAGATCTCCGTGTCCTTTGAGAATTTTTCGATTTCTGGATAAATCGGTGACATCTCTAACGTGCTCGGTGCTGATGGAACTGACGTGGGTGACGCGCTGCTTCCTGAACCATGGTGCAACCGATGGCAGAGTTCCTTCAATACTTCGGTAAACAACATCGAGTTTATGTTCTGACCTAACAGATGTATCAACAGGAAATCACCGACCTGAAAAATATATATATTATATTTTTTTTCCAATCATATATTTCAATGTTTTTTAAATACAGGTAACCCCCTTTCCGAAAAAACACGATTTTCGAGTAATTCTTTTGAAAAACAATAAGATATATAAATTAATATAAATAATTCATTTGTGAATGATGTAATAATACAAGTTTCCTTAGAAGTGTTTACCAATGTGAATTAAAACAATATCAATTTTGATTTTCATACTTAAAACTGAATCCCGTTTTCATAGAGAACACGGAATCAATTAATCGTGTTCTTCGGAGGGTGGTGTGTTACCTGTAAATAAAAAAAGAAAGATATTTCATTGTAAAAATAATAATATAAATTAGAAACCAACTTGAGTTTTTCTGATGAGCGTACTGACATCCGATGCCGAACCGAATTTAAATCGTTTCCTTAGAATGGTTTCGCGAGTGCTAGGTAAAAGAACGATCGCCATACTGTATAGAACAGCTAATCCTGATAAAACAGCTAATAAAATGAACCAGAACCAAAGGAAAATGTATATCTTCTCGTTAAGAATATTCAAAGCTAAAACGCATAAAGCGTCGAGCTTTTGTACAGAACCGGAAGCACCAAATTTATGGAATGTACATTTGGTTACTCTTGGAAATCTTTCGATCATCGGATCGGTACGATGTTCTTGATTCATGTTGCTGAATGTTATCACTTCCGTGCCGTATGTTAAAAATGCACCGCCCAGGAACGTATCGATGAAAAACATGTTGCCAACCTGTAACAAATAAAATCCCCATTAACGAGATTTAATCTTAATTATTTTGCCCCGATTTTATTTGACTTTATTATTTCAAATGGAATAATAATTTTGATGCTTACAACGTTGACGAAGTTAAGTAATTCGCAGAAGAAATAACCGGTAGCATAACTGTTGTGCAAATGCAAAGTATCCAAGATATATTCGACCAATTTGTTAGTCCTGATCTCACGTTCCTGCTTGGTTTCAACCATGGCACCCCTCATACCATCGGATATCATTCTGACCTTGCCTTCCTCCCACTGCTTCCACATCCAATGCGGCACGTAAAAGAGAATACCTTGGAAGAATAGCATGAAGGGTACCCACTGATAATACGAATGATAGAGTTTCTTTTCGTTGTAATCTCCACCAAGACCGGGATGAGCTACTTGGGTACCAACTTCTTTCATGTTATTTGTCGGCAATGTAAATGTGTATGTTATCCAGCAATATGTATTTATCACGTGAGTTGGTACCGCATTATCCGATATACAATTTATTGGATCCCCTAAAATATATGAAAAATTCATTTGATTTAATCCGTATATTTATCTAAATAATGATCTGTTTAATCTGAGATGAGAATAGAATGCAATTATGTTCAATAAAGATAGGCTTCACGTCCTCGGACACATGATACCTCGTTACACTTAAATGAAGAGGACTTCTTTCATACTAATCACAAGTTATCAAGAATGTAGTACGAGAGTTAGCAGTCAGACGTTTGACATTTCAAAACTTGTCTCGTTAAGTTTCTATTTTTAAACTTTTCAACGGATAATGAATTAACTTAAAGGATCATGCACGTATTTCGAGTTGATCATGATTGTAAAAATTGTTTCTTCTTCTTCTTCTTCTTCGAGAGAGAGAGTTTTACGAATAGTTTTATTAAGTTTAATTGTTACACATACCTATCAAATTATTGGCAGTGACAATGATGCAACAGGCGAATAAAATCGCAGCAGTGATTCTATAATGAATTCTGAATACTACGTTATCGATGATAGCTTTGTCGATGAGATATCTTATCTTGACGAACCCGGCGACCGCCGAGACCAAACCGAACACCACCATTTTGATTCTTCTATTTTATCGATTGTCTCTCTGAAAATAAAATAATGACAAAATATTATTCAAAAGAGAAATTTCTTAATGAAAATAATATGACGTCGATTATCACATTCAAAATTAGATTATCAAGAAAATTTTCAATCCACGAGTTTACGAAAATATTCGTCAATGATCGAGAAACTCGTGCATTGATTTAATTTTTTTTCGTAGATTCCTCGTGCATTGATTGACCAACCGATGTAAATTTTAGAAAACAACGAAGAAATATTATTGTGAAAATACAAAAAAAAATCATATAAAAAAGTTTTCAAGGTCCAGAACGATTTGATCAAAAGTATAGCAACGTGCTAACCTTCCGTGAACCGGAAATGGCAGATGCAACGGGGGATCGATATAGAAGACTGCGTGGACAAGTACACACACACATACACACATATGCACGTTCATAAAGAGTGAGAGAGAGAGAGAGGGCTCTTCAGCTCGCAAATTGTTCTCATCTGCGAAACAAAAGGAGACGAGAACACGATAGAGAGAATGGGTTCGTTCCATTCTACAAATTTCTGTCGTACGTAGGACGAACTAGAATAAAAGAAAAAAATAAAAAAAGAAAAGAAAAATGGCCGCTTATGCCGGGGTGCCATACACACACACACACACGTGTACGTGTTGTATATGTGTGTGCTTGCCCGTGAGAAAAAAGCTTTTTGCGATGTAATAAAGAAGAAAAGATTTTTAACGAGAAGTGATGAACACAGCCCCGTTCTTTTTTGTTTTTTCTTCCGCCATCAAAGTGTTACAAATTTTCGAATGAAATTTCACCATGGTTACTCGACAATAGGGCCAGGGGGGGGGGAATTATGGCAGTGGTAATTTAAGAATGTCTCGCGATCGTGATCCTGACACTGAGTCATGCATAATCATTATATATAAATACGACTTCTGGGAATCTTACGTTGATAATCTCACCAGGGACAATGAATCAAAAGAATGCAGAAATGAGAAAGAGAATGAACAAATTCCTGCAGTGAACGACGTCATCTCGCGTTGACTTACCAATGAGATTGGATGATAAACGGAAAAGAAAGAAAATTATTCTAAAAATATTTTTAATCTCTTATTAAAAAAAAGACAAAAAAAAAAAAAAAAGAAAACTTTAAGAGAATATTCAACCACTTTTTGTTTTAATTAAATTTAGATGATTGTTCATTTCCTATTTTTTGTTTTTAATTGCATAATTATGATGACGAACGTTTATGGTATTAATAATCAAGGAAAAATATAAGTTGAAACATCAAAAGAGAGTCAAAGAGAGTCAAAGAGAGTCAAAGAGAGAGAGAGAGAGAGAAAGAGAGAGAGAGAAGCGAGTGGCCGAGTTATACGTCGTTAGAATTTTATTACTTAATCAATTGAAAACAGGCGGGACGCGTGCCACTGCGACGGGGTCAATCTCCAAGTTCTTCTTTCAAAGAGATGTTGCATGTAATTTTTTTTCTCTCTCTCTCTCTCTCTCTTTTATATATTTTTTTTTGTATTTCAAAAATAAAACGTTCAGTTTAGAAGCTTTGGAATTCACGCGAGTAACCTGATTTTTTTTTGTATTGTTTTCCGTTATCTCAGCACTTTTACACACACACACACACAAATACACCACTTCCTATCAGAATTTGTAATGAAAAATATTCTTTGATATTTCTGTCACATGTTTATTAAAATATTTTTTCTATCTCTTCTCAACCAATCAGGGAAAATGAATAATATTTATGGCTTTTTTTTTTTTTTCTCGTTTCGACACGCTTCTTCCTTTATGTCAGTCTGTCTGTCTGTCTGTCCGTCTGTCAGGCAATACACCAAGTGTGTTAACGACAACACGACACCCAATTTGTTCCGCGTGATGTACGAGCATTTCCTCGCAACAATGCTGTCGTTCATTGTAATTTATTTATTTTTTCTTGTTTTATCGTTTGTTTTATCGTGACACGTTTAAAATACCATACTTGAATTGAACAGAAAAAAAAAATATATATATATACATGGTATGCAATTTTAATGGAAAATATTATAGAAAAATATGATTATACGAAATTTGAAATGTAAAATAATAAAAAAGATATTAAATTGACACACATACACACAGACACACACATTAACATATGAAATTTCAAACCATCCAAGAGGATCCACTGTCGCAGCTGCTGCTCGCTACTTATGGCAGGAATAATTTCAGCTGAATCCATGGTTTCTACTATATAAGCAATGCAAGAAAAAGCAAGCAAGCAAGCAAGCAACATTCTGTCATCGTGTGTGTGTTCGTTTGATTATTTTTTTTTATTTAAAATATCATTTCTATCCCGAGTATCGTCTCAACCTTTTTTTTTTCTCTATTATTCTACATCGAATTTCGATAAGTTTTCTACAATAACTACGGGATTGATGGATCGAGTTGTTTCCTGTGTTATTTTTTCCCTTGTCCAACTACAAAAACTATTCTACATCTCCTCTTCTTTACGTTTCTATTTTTTTGTTGTTTTTTTATTTAAAACCCACCTCCACCCCCTAGAAAAGAAAATACCATCGATAACGTTGACATAGATTTTTGTATCTTCGTTGCAGGAACAATTCGGGATATGATAATTTTATAAATAATTTCTAAATAAAAATAAAATGATATATAATTAAAAAAAAAAAGGGAATATGTGTAAAATGAATGGAAGAATATGTTTCTGCGATGGGTTTCGTTGTTTGAATTGGTAGTCTCTCGTTTTGCGACTCCTCCTATACGATTCCCCGAAAGGTTGTTGGTTAACGAACAGACGAGTTAAACCAGTTGGTCTTGTCTCTAGAGAGTCCAAGAGGAAAGAGAGGAAAGAGGAGTTATACCAAGAGAGGACACTGACTATACATATGAGAATGACGAAGAGATGAGGGAGGCTGGTACACACATACTAACACACACATTCTCTCATTCTCTCTACTCTTTGTCCTCCTTCCATATTTCTCTCTCTCTCTCTTTCTCTTTTACTCATTTTACATATTGTCTTCCTCAGACACTTTCTATCTCTCTACTTCCAACTTTGAACTAACTGTTATTTTTTTCACAAATAAAAAATATAAATAATTCATTTATAAGTACTGTGTCACACAAAATATTGAATTTATTTCTAATCGCGTGATTTTTGTTTTATATAAAAATGATTAT